AATGGCTAGCGATGTGGAGCATTTTTTCATATATTTATTCGCTTGTTTAATTTCTTCCTCCAAGAAGCGTGTGTTCATCTCGGAGCAAGTTATTTTTCTTAATTATACAAATTCAAATTATTCACCAAGAATAAAATCAAGATATGTACATGTAAATAGCATGAGACAATTAATGTCCTTAAATAACTTGTAATATTGGCTCCTATATACCATACAGCTTTACTGAGATGTTGGAAATTAAAATTCAATTATTACTCCATTGTAAAATGGAGTATCTCTATAGTTAAGGTAACTTCTGAAGAGTTAAATAAATCTATTCCAAATCTATTTTTTTTTTTTTAAATAGTATCACATTGGAATAGTATCACTATTCACTCCATGTCTCTTTTTGTCTCTGAGAGAGGGTCTCGCTATGTAGTTCAGATTGGCCTTGAGCTCACTTTGTAGCCTGGGCTGGCCTCAAATTCACAACAATCCTCCTGCCTCAGTTTTTTCTTTTCTTTTCTTTTTTTTTTTTTTGAGGTAATGGGGATCCAATTCAGGACTTTGCACTTGCCAGGCAGGAGCTTGTGCTCCTGAGCTACCTCCCCTGCCCTTAATTAATAAGCAACTTTCAGAAATACCTGAAACAACTAAATGGACATAAAATTCATCTTCATAATCAATCCACAACCATAATTCATGGCAGTCATAAGCAGTGGAGTAAGTGTGGGATAAAGCTGAGAACTTTTTATCTATACTCCTGGATACATGTCACTGTTGTTTTACATCAATGTTCTATCTCATGTCGCAGCTTTTTCATTATTGCAGATTGCCAATTTCATGCTTAATAACCTTCAAACTTAAGCTGGTTAAATACAAATAACATCAGAAGTATTCTTACCTTTATTTGACTTTGATGGCTTATTCTTGATAGATTTGAGAGAACTTCTTGATTTATCCTCTCTATCTTTAATTAGTTTCTGAACATCATCCAAAGACAGTTTTTGCAGAACAACTACAGGCTTAGCTCCTTTATTTAGATCTTCAACTAATCCCAGTTTTTCTACTTTGTCTTTCTGCTCTCCTTTCATGTCCATTTTCTTTGTCTCCTGAGTAATATTGCCATCTTTATCCCTCTTGATTTTTGGAATGACAAAATTTTTCAATGCACCAGATCTGCCCCCCAACAAGTAACTTGGAAATTCTGCCTTATTGTCAGGGTGCATCTTATTACTGTCTACTTTATTCCTGTTACCCTCTGTCCTTCTGTCATCTTTACTATTTGGTGATTTAAAACCAGATTTATCAAGTCTTGATTTATTAGCATCTCCTTGTTTAACACGAGGACTGTCAGGTCTTGATTTCTGTTCCCCAGATGGTCTTTCCCTTGAATCCCCTGATTCATGCCTGGGTTTTCTTTCTAGTTTATCAGTTTTTGAACCTTCAGATTTAATGCCATGTTCATTTCTACTTGAGGATCTCAATGTTTCTGGTCTTCGAACCCTGGACTGATCCCCCCGATGTCGTTCTGACTCACCCCTGTCATCTGATTTTTGTTTACTATCATGGTCACGTCTTAGGGACTCAGAAACAGATCGCCCATCAGGTCTCTGCTTTAAAGATTCAGCTCTTTCTGATTTTAACCGAGGTGAATCAGATTTCATGTCTTGTTTATGTTTAGACACTTCAGGTTTTTTCTCTGTTGATGGCTTTCCAGAGTCCCTCCTATTTTCATGCCTGTGTTTTGGTGTTTCAGGCCGGCCTTCATTTTTTTGCTTTGGAGTTTCAGGCCGGCCCTCATTTTTTTGCTTTGGAGTTTCTGGTCGTCCATCACCCTTCTGTTTAGGGGTTTCAGGACGTCCATCACTCTTTTGTTTTGGAGTTTCAGGTCGGCTTTCACCCTTTTGCTTTGGGGTTTCAGGTCTTGATTTTGTTGTTTCTGACCTGCCACTATTTTGTTTGCTGTCGTTTGGTTTTGAGTCAGATAGTCTATTTTCATTCTGTTTGGACTCTACTATAGTGCTCTCATTTTGTTTGGATTCGGTAGTTCTATTTTCAGTCTGTTTAAGTTCTTCTGTTTGGGTCTCAGTTTTAGTTTCTAACTTACTTTCACTTGATTTCATCTCCACCAATCGGTTTTCATTATGTTTAGATTCTGACAACCTACTTTCATTTTGCTTCACTTCACTCTTTGAAAGCTCAGGATCAGCCTTTTTTTTAGGTGTCTCAGGATGGTTTTCTGGTGTGGATTTAAGACTTCCAATAATATCTTCCTGAAGAATAGAAATAGGTGCATCATTACATTGTTTGATTTCTTCAGGCTTTTTTAGTGAGTCTGAATCCTGAGTTATAGAAGCCTGAGAGTCCACTCTTCCTGCCTGATGAAGATCAATGCTAACCATTAATGCTGGCCTTGACCCATTTCCCGTAGAACCCGTCTCCTGAGAAGCTGGTCTATTACCTCCTGTAGCACCCCCAGCCTCCTGTGGGTAAGAATCTTGTTTTCTTTTTTTCAAAGGCTTATCTGAAATTTAAAGACAAATATTCAATATCAGTAATAGACATATATTATTATTTTATTAAAAACGATATGCACTTTGACTATCTTTTTAAAATACTTGTCTATAAATGTAATGAATGCAAATATGCAGATGTACAATAGGAAGCACAAATGACATAATACTTTTAAAATTAAGTTTGAAGAAATATTAATGTTTGCTCTACCTCAATAAATATTAGTGAGTATTGGTAGACGTTTTAACATACTTTTGGACTGTACAAGTACAATGAGATAAACTGGATAGATTTCATAATACATCAAATACAAACACCTATGATTATGTATATTGAGGATAAACCAGATTTTAAGAATAAAATAATCATAATTCTAACTTAAGATAATTTAAACTATTAACCAAAAGCAATTAAGACTCCCCCAAATCTGTCACATATCAACTGGAAATATAAACTTTTACTATAAATATAGAAAAGAATGAAACAGAAAAATAAAACAAAACATTCCGCCACTGAGAAAAGGACTAAATGCTGAGAGCAAGTAAAAAGTTAGTAATATGTCATTATGCAGTATTCAAATTATTTAAGGTGTTAATAATACAGGTGGAGTTTAAAAGCTTCCATGTTAGAGAGAAGTAAATTCTGAGTAAGAAAGCAATATGTTTCATAGGTATTAGAAGAACTTATACAATTTGCGTCTAAAGATATTTTCCCTGAGAAAAAGTGCTTCTGGCTCTTGAACATAAAGTTGAGGGGGTTCACATTTTGACCTCTGAAAGAATTATACTATTCTGAAACCTAAGGACAAATAAATTCTCTATTGTAATAAAATGTTATGGAATTTTTAAAAGTTATGCATTTCTGTACATGATTTTACTGCTATATCATTTTCTCTTCTTTTTTTAATGGCGGAAAGGATCTCTTTATGTAATGTAGATAGGCCTTAATTTCACTTATGTAGCCTTCGCTGGCCCCAAACTCAAGGTGATATTCCTGCCCCAGCTTTCCAAGTGATGGGATTATAAGCATGCCTCACTATGCTAGCCAGCTAGGTCCTTTTCTATAAAATGAATCTCTAGCTAGTTAAGAACAGTTATGCCTATTTTATTGGAAGTGCTTGACTATGTTTTAACAAGAAATTTTTTAGTCATTTAAAAAGAATTGAAGATTTTAATATTTACTTGTGTTAGATACATAACTTAAGGAAAAAAAACAACACAAAGGTTAAATTGACAAGTGAAAAATCACTTTCCTCATTATTAGAGAAAGAAGTTCTGTAAAAGATTTTTATGATAATGCTTGTGTTCATACCAAAGTTCTACTGTTTTGTTCTCAAAGTGAGAAACAGTTCAATTCAATTTATTTTTTTTTTTTTGTGGAACCGGGGATTGAACTCAGACCCTTGAGCTTGCCAGGCAAGTGCTTATTCTATTGAGCCATCTCCCCGGCCCTAGTTCATTTCAATTTAAAATCTAATCAAATGCAATTAAAATTTATTTTGGTGCTGGGAATGAGAATACTTCCACAGTGTTATCAGAATACTTAAATTTGATCCCCAAAGCTACCTACTTTGGATATTTGCTAGTTATTTTTCTTGTAAAACAAAGTGTGCTCCTTTAGTTAAGCAGAAGTCAAGCCTACCACCACATACATTCAATTTCCAAAACAGCTAATGATAATAAGTATGTTATCATGAGACTACTTTTCTTGTTATAACATCTTCAGACTTTATGCGACACTTTCTGCATTAATGCCTAAGGGAATAAAGTATTCAGATAGTAATTTTATGTTTATAGAATCCTTTTTAAATGTTTTGTGATATATAATAATATTTTTGTCAGTACTGTAGATTGGGTCTCGGGCCTTCTTACATCTCTCGCCCTTTTTCTATTTTTTCAGTTTCAATTTTGAGACATGGTCTAAGTTATTTGATTGCCCAGGTCAAAGTCAAATTTTTATCTTCCTGCCTCAGCTTCCCAGAGTGCTGGGATTACAAGTGTGGATTTTTAGAACTTGCTACAAGGTACACCAAATAATTATCATTTTATACTTATAATGCTTTATCACCTTACACTTAACCTTTAAAACTTTATGAAAAGAATCTAGAAATTTACAAATTATAACCTAAGCTTTTTTTTTGCAGTACTGGGGATCAAACGTGGGACTTCGCACATGCCAGGCAAGTGCTTATGCCATTGAGTTGTTTCCCTCGCCCTTCAAATTTTGTAATACTTTCAACACACTATGCTTTGTGGAAGTCATTATTATTATTATTATTATTATTTTTTTTTTTTTTAAATTTTTTTATTTATTTGGTACAGGGCGTCACGACACAGCTCGGACTTGTAGCGATCCTCCTTTCTCAGCCTCCCCAGTGCTGGGAATACATGAATGCATCACCACACCCAGCTTTGGTGGCCTGCATGGTATGCCCAGGGTTCCAGGCTGGCATGGCATGTGGTGCTGAGCTTCAAACTCAGGTTCTTGAGCTTGTCAGGCAGGTGTTAAGACCAGTGAGCTATTTCCCCAGCCCTGTGAAAGTAACTGTAATGGTAACCTACGCATAAGTAAAGCAACACTGATTTCAGGTATTTGAAGATTTCTCTTAGGAAATCTTGACTCATTCTTTTATTAGTATGAATGATAGATTTTTAAAAAGCTCAGAAGACAGTTACAGAACTACAAATTATTTCAGAGTTTATACATCATTAAACTTATTCCAATTTACTTTTTGTCATTAAAATGCAAATCTGGCAAGCAAATTAAGTTAATTTCAAAGCAATGATTACATTTAATTTACCTTGAATCACAGATCCTGATTATTTATATTAAAAATATGAAATCACTTACATATAAGCAATATATTGAGACATTTTATGTTTTTTCTACTATACATAAAATATACCTAAGTACAAAGTTTTAATCTCTCAGTTATTGGAAAGTACTTCACCTTTTCTGTAAAATCCTGAAAAACTTTATCACTGCTGAAGAGATTCCTGGATTACATTAAGAGCATTCACTTTCTGGTTCACTTGCATGATGAATCTGTTCTTTTTTTTTGCAGAACCGGGGATTGAACCCAGGCCCTATTCCACTGAGCCATCTCCCCGGCCCATTTATTCTTATAATATGGCTCTGAATCTGTATAGGTCATCTCTCTTTTTTTTTTTTTTAGAAATTAAATTTTATTTTATTTTATTTATTTTTTTAAAATTTATGTGTGTGTGTGTGTGTGTGTGTGTGTGTGTGTGGCCAGCTCAGCCCACCAGGGGGCGGGGCTGGCGGGAATGTGGTGCTGGGGGATTGAACCGTGGTCCCTGTGCTTTGCTGAGCTTGTTCTAAGTAGGTGCTTTAGACCACTGAGCCATCTCACCAGCCCCTGTATAGGTTGTTTCTATCTACCCAATTCTGTTATGTCTTCATTACTTCATAACATTTACCTAATGATGGAAAGCCATCTCTATGAAGAGTAACTTTAGTATTTGAAATACTGATTACCTTTAAATTCTCATCAGGGTCAAGAAATTTAAGATTAGTTATCACAATTCATATATTGCTAAAGAAAATGCATACAAAAGGATATCATAATTTCAAAACACTTGCCATCCAGATGTTGATAGTTTGAAAATAAAAAACCATTCTTATAGAAATTCTAAGCTCAATTACACTTATAAGAAAACTATTCTTATTTAAATACAGTACAATTACACTTATAGAAAACTATTATTTAAATACAGTACAAGTGGTAACTGAAAACTATTAAAAGCAGAAAGTACATTAATCATATACCTATTAGCCAACTATGAAAACTAAAACATAGCAGATATAAATTACAAAATGGGATAAGTGATTCATTATCTTATACCTGCCACAAATTCTTACTTCTTGATTCCAAATCACAGAAAGTAACACATGTTGAGTATCCCATATCTGAAATGCTTGGACTGAAATTTTACAATTCAGTGAAATTTCAGATATTGGAAAATGTGCATAGATTTTGCTGGCTGAGCACCTCTGCTCTGTCCTTAGCCCAAAACTTAAAATCCTCTGATATCTGAAATATAAGTAAGTTTTGCATTTTTGGATTAGGGATGCTCAACCTATAATTTAGTTCGTATAAGGCTTACAGTACTAGAATATTATAAAATTATAAACTATTTAGTGAAAGTAGGCCATTTCTTATACTTGCTAGCATGGAAAGTGGACCTTGGGAAAAGATGAAATGAGCAAAGATGAACAAAGTAACTCCCTCTTCAACAAAAGAAAGCAGGATCTTTCAGCACAGCAAAGAGATATTAATGTCTATAACAGGACATCCCACAACCAAAGATGAATAGCCTTTTAAAATTAGATGTTAAAAGTATGAGCAAAAAGCCTGATTTAAAAAGGTCCTTTTCATGTATAATGACAACAGATTATAAAGAGTAACCCTATTCATATATATACAGAATTGTCCAAAGAAGGAAAAGCAGGCAGAAGGGACAATAAATATCTAGCAGCTAGAAGAATGTCTCATGTTTGGAACTACGGTATGGGTTTTAGCACAGCATAAGTAAATAAGGCTACCCCTTTTCATGAATCCCAAAATTACCAACTAAGTTTGCTGGACTTTTAAATCTTGCTTATAGAAGTACTTTAAATATTTTTTCTAGTTATTAAAAAGAGTATTTCTCTCATAGCAAATGAATATATTGGCAAATAAAAAACCATGTAAGTCAGACATGTTAAGTTCTTGCACCATGTTTTAGAATTATTAATAAAACTCAATTTTAGAATTTAATCCCAAAAGTACAAATGTAACTAGTTATTAATTAATTTTAAGAAAGTAGCTCCTCTATTAAGAGCTGAGTATAGAACCACTTAATAAACATTTCACTTTTATTTATTCCCATGCCTATAACCTTGAAGCAACATACATGTAACACCTTTCATCTGTCTAAAATCTCAAGGTAATTTCTTATATAAAAAATATTACCTTAGCACACAATGCACCAAACTAAATACAAAAGTGTTGGGTTACAAAAGTTTTCAAATCTATGAAATAATAAAAACATGGGCTTTCAGAAAACTAAGAAGTTTTCAATTCCCCATAACTTTGCACACAAGCTTCTGTGTTCAAAAAAAAAAAAAAGAAAAGAAAAAAGAAAACTAAGAAGTCAGCAAAACCTACTTTAATTCTTAAAGCAACAGGTGTTATCTTTACAAAATTGTAAGCCAGCTCTAACCTTTATGCTTTTCAGTAACTTTTATTAGTCACAGCATCAGATTATAAAGTGTTGAGATAACTGAAAGTGTATATTACAACTTTTTATATGAATGTTACGTTATACGTAAACTCATTCTTTCAAAGCAGTAAGCAGTATATGAGTTTACTAATATGCAATTGAACCTACTTACTGCCTTTATTTTTATTCCGTTATTAAAACCAAAAATTTTGCTTTGAACAAATGTGATACAGAGGGGTTCAGGAAAGATAATAAAAATAAGTTTACCATTTCTTCTGTTTTGTTCCTTTCTACAACTACTAATGATAAAATCATTTAAAAATTAAATGTTTTGGTTTTAAACTCCAGAAAATATCTGTGAGAGGGTTAGAATCCTTCCTGGAGCCCTAAAATCATACCATCTGTCTCCCTTATTTAAGCCCTCGCCATCCACTCGTTTGGGAGACTGCAGGTCTGATCAGGCAGCAGTAACTAAGGGTGTTATTAATCCAAAATTTGGCACCTGGGCCAAAGATTTATAACTCTTGGACTGACAATTTTTAATCCCAAATAAGTCACCTAGAGTGGAAAGTGTGAGAGAAGGCCTGCACAGGATGAAAACTTCTCCAGGGATGCCTAGAGAAAGAAGGAAAGAGAAACATTCCACAAAGAATAGGGGTCATAAAAATATTATGGATGCATCCTGGAACAGGCAGCCATAGAGAGATCTTCAAACCTGTGGTGAAGTCTGTTGCCACCAGACCCATCTTGGATTCTATAATGGCCTGATTATATTACATGTTTGCTTTTAGAGGGGCCACTAAACCTGACAATGCTAGTGATATTTCAACAAAAGGAGGAACGATGGAGACCACTATGAAATAGCTCAGAGCAGGACTGGTTTTTCATTTTATGTACATGGTACAGGGTCTCACTACACAGCTCGGACTCCTAGTGATCCTCCTGTTTTCAGTCTCCCCAGAGCTCTGATTACAGTCATGCACCACCATGCCTGGACTCAGCCAAGGGCTCAGTGTGCCCCTGGGAAAAGGCCAGTGAGGCATACGGGACCAGAACAAGGGATTGAACCCTGGTCCCTGCGCTCACCTAAAGTACGCATTTAGTTTGCTGTACTATCTTGCCAGTCCTTGATTTATATTAACCAATTGGCTTTTCACGTTTACTTGTGAGTTTGTGCAAGGCAACAGACTCATAGTAAGTGAACCTGTGTGCGTCAGTGGTCTTACTGAGGCTTGTAATGATGGGTGAAGCCATGAGGCATCAACAGACAAGGCCACAGCTAAGGACACCTGGCTCCAACCTCAATTAGAGAAAGGCTGTAGTTGCAGGCAGCCCACTGGTGAAGGCCTTCCTCCAGGTAACACAGTTCTTCTAAATACACATAATGTATTACTTGGAGAAGCCCTGAAGGGATTCCCAGGTCCTGCCCAGATTCCTGCATCTTCTTCAGGATTCTTCTTTGTTTGATAACATAATAAATACAAATGCCTAAAAAAGTTCCTTATTCTAAAACATAGAAAATATCTGTGAGAATCCTCCTGGAGCCCTAAAATCATAAAAATAAAAAAAAGCAAAACAAAACCTTTTTGAAGAGCACAATTTTCCATAGCACAGATTAAATGTCATTAAATTCAGTTTTGTAAGCCACTAATATTTCTAGACCAAGAAGTCACAATTTTGTGTATTTCTTACAAGGCTGACTGTCAGCATTCAAGAATTTTGAGGTTAATATCATCAAGAGAAGCTGAGAAATGAATGCAGCTGTGTTCACTTGATATGCATTTAATTTTTTGTTGTTGCTATTTCTTTCTGCATTTACTTTTATAAGCAGTCAGAAGAGGAGACACACCTTGATACCTCTAGAGTTTTTCCTCAGCCCAACTACATACAAGAAAAAATAGCCAATTTACTTTATGATCATGAATACAAAAGGTTTATATGAAAGCTCACAAAAATCTAAACGAAAACCCATTCTCTAGTTAGTAAAATGAAGACTTTCATCAATCTCTTTATTATACTTATTTATAATTCACACATAAATGCAGTTCAATAATTTCTAAATATCCTTTAATTATCTTAAAAAGTCATGATAGAAGATACATAAAAATTTTCAGCATGTTTCTAGGCACAAGAACCTAAGCAGTGATGATCCTGTGACATAATTAAGATCATATATAAAAAAGAGCTCTGCTTGGGGACTGGGAGATGGCTCAGCAGAATAAGCACTTCCCTGGCAAGTGCAAGGGCCTGAGTTCAATCCCCGGTAAAAAAAAAAAAAAAAAAAAAAAGAGCTTTGCTCAATATCATGGTATTTGTTCTATATTGCAAAGGAATAAAATGAAACTATGTATCAAACTAGACTATTTTAATCATAAACCTAAATATAAAGCATTTTAGTTTTGATAATCAAATGTGTATATTCATATCAAGCTCATAAATTATATTACTAATTTCAAACAATGATGCATCAGTCTCTCCCAAAATACTGAAAGGATTTTGTGGGTAGCATATGAAGGGATAGTGTAGACAGTATGTGAAGAACATATTACGGATTTATTTTTATTTGATTATAAAGCATGAAGCAAGCCTATAAACTAAGGATAGGTATATCTACAAACTCTAACCTATTAGTCAGATAAGAGGGAACATTTAGCTGTAATGACCATCAAAAGATTCTTGATTCTTAAAATATTAACATTAACTTAAAATTCCATACTTTGGTAAAAAACCAAAAAAATTACATAAAGACAGTACCATGACAGGCCAACTAAAGTATTCAACTGCTTAATAAACACACATTTATACTTTCTTTAAATGTGCCCACTTTATAATAATGCTAGAGTAGTTAAACTTGTTTTGGCAGAAAACTGTTGAAGAGGTACCATTCTATTAACATAAATTACAGAAAATGCACAATACACAGAAATGGTAATGTTCATTTTAGCAGAAAAGCACAAATAAGTGAAATTATATAGTGTATAACATGATAGAGCTGCAGTAGAGGCTTACTGAATTTTAGACAGCTGCTTCAGATGAAACTTGAAATCAGGAATTTAACATTTGAAGCATAATTATTAGCAAAAGCATGTATTTGATAAAAAACAAAGAATTCATACTTGCTTGGTGGTGGAGTGGTAATAATGACAGTATCTTACCTTTATCTTGAACTTCTTTAGAAAAGCGCTCCCTTTCAATAGCTGACTCTCTCTCTATCCGCTCTATTTCAGCCAATGCATCCAATTCTACTTCATCATATATAGGTCCCTGTTGTGATACTTGTTGTTGATTCTGTACCACAGAAGTCTGGGGTTGTTTTGTAGCAACTAAAGTGTTCTGTTGTAAAACAGGCACTTGATTTGCTGGAAGGAATGCTGTTTGTTCTTGCTGCGACAAACACTGAGCAGCATTTAGTGGGCGGTTTACATCCTGTGGAGTAATGGGTGTTTTTGAAGTCTGTCCTGGATACTGCACATTAAAAGGAATATCATTTTCTGAAACATTGCTATTTTCCATACCAGAAAGCATATCCTCTTGCTGGTCCATATCTGAAGACCTTACACGAGAAAGTCTTAACGTAAGTTTAGTAGAGTCCTTGGATGGAGAACTAATTATATCATACATTGCAGCTTTCTCACTCTGGTCTTTTTCATCCTTGCCTAATTTCATTTTCTTCTGCTTCTTTTGTTTTCTTTCTGGAGAATCTAGCAAGATGTCTGGTGGAACATCTCGAGGTGATGAACAAGGCAGAGGCTGAGATTGTAAAATTAAAGGTGGTCTTGATCCTAGGAAAACCAATTCAACATAAATAAACTGTTGGTTGTATTGGTTTTACATTTTCTTATGGGGTGACAGGTATATTAAATAATGAAAAATACATAAAGCCAGAAAAAAAGAAATTAAGCTACTTTTACCACAACTATTCAAGATGCTTTATATATCAAATCATAAAATATTCTTGAGTATTATCACCATTTTGAAAAACAAAGCCTACAGAGGTTAAGAATATGCTAAAAATTTTATAGCTTGCAAATGTAAAATTTAGAACCAGATATGTCTAAGTCTGAAATGTAAAAAACAATGTTTTTCTATCTAAAGCTTAAGTGGCAAGTTATATACTCTAGAACATACCAAATTTCAAAAATTCACCTAAAAAAAAAAAATCAGAATAGCTGACAATGCACTGCCCTTTAAAAGTAGGTGGAAAACAACAACCTCATAAACAGAAGTTCAGGCTTCTGAAGAAAAATATATTTATGAAATTGTTTTAGTTTTTCCTGTTTCTACTTAAAGTTTTCTATCTTTCAATCTTCCATCAAGGTCCAAAAGTGGTCTGGTTGTCTATATCAATCTCCTAACCCTTTCTTTTCCCTCTGAGGTAGGTTGTCTAAATTACTTCTCACCCTGACAATGCTTGGGCCTTGAGTGCCTACTTTGATGATAATGGCATCTAGTTACCCAAGATATTGATGTGCTTTGTTTTGTCTTTCAGAAACAGACGTTTTAATTACTGAAAATTTATAAAATACAATGGTTCATAAAGACTTAACTTTACTTCATGAAGAATGTCCATGACTATTTAGTTGGAGAAACACATATGAAAAATATCTTTACCATATACAAAGACGATAGCCCATGCTTTAGATACCATTATTTAGAATTTTTCATAGCTTATGAAAATATACTCAGCTATATTATAAGCATATACAAACTCTTAAAAGTGAAACAAAGTATTCTCTGTCAACAAACAAAGTAAAATGATCAGACTGTAAGTTTCTTTCTTTCTTTTTTTTTCCCCCCAAGACATGGTTTCACTATGTAATTCAGGCTGTTCTTTAACATGCTACATAGCCCAGGCAGGCCTTGAACTTAGCATTACCGGTGTACTCTGTAGGTATTTTTTAAAGTAGCCAAAGCCAGATTTATATTTACAACTTGGCCTGAGGAGATAGCTCAGTAGAATTTGCGCATGCCTGGCAAGTGCCAAGTCCAGAGTTCAATCTCTAGCACCATAATAAATAAATAAATAAATAAATTAATTAATTAATTCACAACTTGATACTCTGTTATAGGCAGAGGATCACACAAAGTTCTTTGGGAATTTAAAAATAAAAATTAAAAGTCACATACATGAGACAGTATAAATTCTTAGGAAAATTAGTGTTAACTAATGGCTTGAGGAGATTAGGGGAGGATTTATAGCAGATTGCCCATTTAGCTCAGATCTACAAGAATAGGTAAGTTTTCAGTACTCAGATGAAAATAGACACAAGATTTAGGAAGAAAACAACAGGCTACATTTGACAAATGACTATAAAGAGTTGACAGAAGACGTCATGGTGATTTGGAATTTTTAATTCAAGATATCTCAACAGTAGAATGGCATTAAGAAAGATGAGAATGGCAGAAAAAAACAGTAAGAACAATCTTGAAAACAAATTTGACATACCAGCTAGGTAAAAAGGAAGTTTTTTACCCAGACATAAAAAATAACAACCTGGGACACAACACTGGAACCAAAGATTGACTTAGGAGTCTGTTCCCAAAGAAATCTATGCTGTCATAAAAACTGAGTGAAAGAGCCACAGAACAAATTCTGATAACAGAAATCTTCAGAAATGAAACTGGAAAGCAGAGTTGTGTGAAAAAAAAGAAAAAAAAAAAAAAAAAAAAAAAAGGAAGGAAGAGAAAGAAAAAAAAGAAAGGACAGTGAGAATGAAGTGAGGGAATGAAGGAGGAAGAAAGCAAGAAAAAAAAAAAGCAGTGTCTACAAAAAGAGAATAACATGTAAGCTCAATATGAAAAAAGGTGTTTTTGGAGTGCCGTGGGAGACTGACCAAAAATTTCACATTAGAGGTTGTGATTTATAAAGATCATTGGAATTATCCATACAAATGATAACAGATACAAGAGAATATTATCAATCATTTGAGATTAAAAGAATGTAGATGGAAAAAAAAATCACTGAATAGAAATTTAAATCCCCTGACAATAGAGCTACTAAAGCAGTTTGCTTGTTTATTCATTTAAGGAAACCAAGAGAGTAATTTCTGGTTTCTGTTTTAAGATGTTTGCTTTCTTAACTTGAAGTATGAATATCCTAAGGGAAATTTTAGTTACAAAAATACCTTTAGGAGTTCCATCACTTCCAGCAGGAGAGCAAACTGGCTGTGGGGACCTCAGGGAAAAAGATGCAGCATTCCTCATTGTTGAAGAATCTCCATCCTAAGAATAAAAGTATAATATTTATGTCTTGAATGATGGGAAAAGGCACACAGACATGTTAGAGAACTAATAAAAGACATAAATTACTGACAGGTAAAGTGTTGGATTCAATAGCATAATTTTTCTGTACTTTCCTCTTTTCTTCTTGGTACAGCTTAGAAGATTTGAAATTGTATCCAAAAGAATCAATAGCCTGAGCATGGCAATGAATAAGAAAGGTGGTATTCCTTGTATGCTCCATTTTTGCTACTTTCTACAAAAGGAGCTGTGAACACCCTATGAGGATGTAAATGTCTTGAAGGCAGAATCCATTGCTGCCTCTTTAATGCACAGATGTAAGAAGCTAATACAAAAACAGCCAAATCCATAAGATACATTTAAACGCATGAATGATTTCAGTTAACATCAACATAGCTTCATGAAAAAAAAATTTTACAGCGAAAAAAAGCCAACTCCTAATAAACGTTTATTTAAGAGCATATGTTTGTGCCAGCAGTATTAAATGGAAATTTAACCTGCCATAAGGTCTGTGGATCAGGAACCACGCTGCTCATAGGTAAATTCTCAGTGCTTATTACAAGGTTTGTAGCTAGCCTCTAAACTATTGAACGAAAACATTAGGTTTTGTCACAGATACTGGAACTATTTTATTACCTTAATGAAAACTTATATATTACATACGTCACTACTTAGCCTGTGCACCATGTGTAGGTAGTCGTCACTTGAGCCGTGTCTGGGATTATCTGTGTGATGATTAGCTGAATTGCCAGATAATGGGCCAGAAACTTTATTATCATGTATGTTTCTCAAACCACCTGCAACAATGGGACTTGATACCGATGCTGGAATTAATAAGAATAAAAAAAAAAAAAAGATTCATTGAGATTTCTTAGTAATTATTTACAAGAAATACTTCAAACATATTTTAGAATAATATAATGAATACTCATGTACTTATTATTCAGTCTAAGTTTTAACACTATGCCACAAGTTATTTAAGATGATTTTTGAGGGCTGGTGAGATGGCTCAGTTGTCTAAAGCACCTACTTAGAACAAGCTTAGCAAAGCAAAGCACAGGGACCGTGGTTCAATCCCCCAGCACCACATGCCAGCCAGCCCCGCCCCCTGGTGGGCTGAGCTGGCCACACACACACTAAATAAATAAATAAATAAATAATTAAAAAAAAAAAAAAAGATGATTTTTGAAAACATCACAGATATGGTTGAAGCTCTCTATTGGTATATTCCTCTCTCCCTCTTCTTCCCTAGAAGTACCCACTTTTTTAAGCTTTAATATATACTACCTGTGTACATCTTTATACTTCTGTTGTCAATAAATATATTCCTAAAGAACATATAGCACTGTTTTGCATACAAGTTCACATGTGGCATATATAACCTTTTATAATTTGCTTTTCAATTCATAAAGATTCATTTATTTTATTTTATTTTTTTTCTTTGTTTAGTTTTTTCCCTTTGATTCATTCATTTTAATACATGTAATTTAAAATTTATTTTTAAAAGAAACACAATACACAGAATCCTGTTATATAATGAATATTCTTAATTTACTGGCTGCTATGTTCAGATGGCTTACAACACAGTGGTTCAAGTGCTTAATGATGTTCTAGAGAGGAAGCAAATTGATCACAGCCCCATGAATGAGAATGGAAAGAACCCACCAAATAGGGCAAACAATTCACAGGAGAATAAGAGGTATACAATAGTTGTCTTTCAGTTATTCTTTTGTGTTCAGCAGCAAAATATTTCCACTAGCACACTCTACAAATGGACTTCTCTTCCATTCTATGGATCATGATTCCATCTGAGTCTACAGGGTGGATTTCAAAGAAATAGTTGTAGCACAGTCCCACAAATGACGCCTGGCCACCAGTAACTGTCACAGTCATTATGCATGTCAACAACACACTAGAACTTCGTGCGATATTCCTATCCTCAAACTGTTAGAAGTGCTGGTCATTTATTTGCCATTCCAGTATTTATCTTATGTTTTACTCTTAGTACTTCTTTGCTATCATGAAAACTTTTTCTTACTTCAATTGTTTTGAAACATTTAATTTTTAATTATTAGTGTTTAATTTTCTGAATATTGCTTAATCTTAATTTTTGTTCTAAGATTTATACTATATCTTTGACTTACAATTTATTTAAAAGACACCGTATGGTATCTTCTCCTAGTATTAGAAACTTTATAAAGTATATTTCCATTTTCTGTTGACTTTATATTACTTCTTCCCATTCTTTTATACACACATACACACACATATACATGAAAAAAATACATGTATAACCCAACGTAAGATTGGTACTGTTTCATAGAAATCTGCAATGACCTTTAGAATGAGCATTGGTTTTTTAATTTTTTTTTTTTGCAGAACTGGGGATTGAACTCAGGCCCTTACGCTTATCAGGGAAGTGCTTATTCTGCTGAGCCATCTCCCCAGCCTCAGCAATGACCTTTAAATAAGGGTTCATCTAATATATTTTATACAGTCCTGCATAACTATCATATTGAGAGCTCTTAATTGTTCATCCAGGAGCATAATGCAACTTCTCTTGCCTTTTGAATTGTGCTCTTTCTTATTTCCTACATGCTACGCCTGGAGGTATTAAAATATTTCAAGTTTGTATAACTAGAAAATCTTACTTTTAGTTTTCAAAGGTATGTTTTCTAAGTATAAAACTCAAAGAGGACAGATCTTTTCTTTCAGTCCTTTAGT